GGCGGCCGCCCCGCCCGGGGCTCCGGCGGGTTAGCAGCTCGCATCCCAGGAAACAAAAACACTGTGTGTGGCTTTTGATAGAATTCTCAGATCCCCTGTCCCTGATCTAAATTGGGTCTTCCGTTTTTTTCTTACTTGGCTCAGCCTTCTACACCTTCATACTATTTATCACAAGTTGTACACGCATTTTTACATATTTGTATAATGTCAGGCTGCCCACCTGACTATCAACTCCATCGGAGCGAGGACCTCTTTTTCTATTTTAGTCTATTCCTTCACTATAATGTATCCTCTGCCCTGCAGGGGTTTTTCTTGGAATTACATTAATAGATTAATTTGGGGGCAAATACGATCTTTATAAATGAGTCTTCATAAATATAGTATATCTCTTCATTTATATTAGGTCTTATTGATCAATCTTTTTAGATCTAAATATTTTAACATTTATTTTGTGATCCTAGTGCTTGCTAGATCTCTTCCAAAATACCATTAAACAAGAAACAATCTGGCCCAGGCCGCATGGCTCGGTTGGTTGGAGCATCATCCACGTTTCATCCCCAGTCAGGGCACAAGTTGGGGTCAACCAATGAATGCAGGAGTGGGTGGATCCGCCAATCAATGTTTTTCTCTCTCCCTCTCTCTTTAAAAAAATAAATAAAAGAACAAACAAGAAACAATCTCGCCTCTAACATCTAGTTAGCGAGATAAGATGAAACATGAAAAATTAATAACAGTAAAAGACTAGAACAATACAAAAAAAGCAATAGCTTCAGAGATTGTCAAGTGACTTGAAAAAACAGTAATTGCCCTAGCTGGTTTGGCTCAGTGGATAGAGCATCGGCCTGCGGATTAAAGGGTCCCGGGTTCGATTCTGGTCAGGGGCACATGCCCGGGTTGGGGGCTCGATCCCCAGTGGGGGGCATGCAGGAGGCAGCTGATCGATGATTCTCTATCTCATCATTGATGTTTTTTTTATATTCATTTATTGACTTCAGAGAGGAAGGGAGAAGGAGAGAGAGATAGAAACATCAATGATGAGAGAGAATCATTGATTGGCCGCCTCCCTCACACCCCCCACTGGGGAATGAGCCCGCAACCCAGGCATGTGCCCTTGGCCGGAATCGAACCCGAGACCCCTCAGTCCGCAGGCTGACGCTCTATCCACTGAGCCAAGCCAGCTAGGGCTCATCATTGATGTTTCTATCTCTCCCTCTCCCTTCCTCTCTGAAATCATATATTTCATAATCTGAAAAATATATTGAAAAAAAGAAAAAGCAGTAATTATTTGGGGAATTAGAAGAAAGATCCCTTTTAGAAGAAATTATGAGGGGAAACTATTGTATAGTCTTTCTGTTGTTGTTAATCCTCACCTGAGGATATTTTTCCATCGATTTTTAGAGAGTGGAAGGGAGAAGGAGAGACAGAGAGAAACATCGATGTGAGAGAGACACATCGATTGATTGCCTCTTGCACACACCCCAACCAGGGCCAGGGAACCTGCAACCAAAATATGTGCCCTTGACCAGAATGGAACCCAGGACCCTTCAATCTGCGGGCTGGTGCTCTATCCACTGAGCCGAACCGGTTAAGGCTGTATAGTCTCATTTCATCTAGATCCTGAAGGATGAGAATTGGAATAGGCCAAAAGCTTAGGGAGGGAATTTTAATGGGGTTGAACAACTTCAGCAAAAACCCAAAAGCTGAAAATACAAAACATTTTCATGGAATTGTTAAAAATAAATCTGGCTGCCCTGGCCAGTGTGGCTCAGTTGTTTGGAACATTGTCTGGTATGCCGAAAGGTGGCAGGTTTGATTCCCAGTCAGGTCGCATTCCCAGGTTGTGGATTCAGTCCCCAGTTGGGGCAAGTGCAGGAGGCAGCCAATGTTTCTCACCTCTCTCACTTTCTCGCTCTCTCTCTCTCCCTTTAAAATCAGTAAAATAAATAAATAAATAAAGCTTATTTTTAAAATAAAAAATCTGGTTATAAAGAGTGGTAAGTAAATATTAGGTCTTTTAAAGTCAAATTATGGATAATCTTAAATGCAAGGTTAAGGAATTTGAAGTTGAATATACAATATGGGCAATGGAGAACCAGCACAGTGAAAATTGTTACACATCAGTATAGCATTATAACAGTGAATATAACCTATTTTTTTTACATCTTTGCCCAAATTAGTCTGTGCTTTGTACTTAGCAATTTAATAAATCCTCTATAAATATTTCATGAATGAATAAATGAATGATCAGGCTGTGATGTGGAGAACCTATTTGAAGGGGAGAAATGAGAGATATAGAAACCTCTTAGGTACCTATTCCAATAACATGGTCATGAGTTTTTAGTGGCCTCAATTCAGATGACAGTAGGAAAACAAAACCTGAATAAAGTGCTCTGCCCTGTTGTTACTAAAAACTGATATAATTAATATTTATTTATTTTTTTAATATATTTTATTGATTTTCTACAGAGAGGAAGGGAGAGGGATAGAGAGTTAGAAACATCGATGAGAGAGAAACATCGATCAGCTGCCTCCTGCACACTTCCCACTGGGGATGTACCCGCAACCAAGGTACATGCTCTTGACCGGAATCGAACCTGGGACTGTTTTCTGGTATATTTGCCATTTGTAAACAAAAAATTTTTTGTCAGGCATTATAAGTTAAATACAGTGAAGGATACTAGGTTGTTTAATACAGTCTGAGCATTAAGAATGGAAAAAATCATATGTGGGCCTGAGCTGGGACTGGAAATTGATACTGAGGAAGTTGCAAGGAAATAAGGAGGCAAGGGCATCTGTATATATAAAAGCCTAAGCAACTGAATGACCAGTCACTATGACACACACTGACCACTAGGGGACAGATGCTCAACACAGGAGCTGCCCCCTGGTGGTCAGTGTGCTCCCACAGTCAACCTCCTACGGTCCCTCCTCCCCACTCCCCCCATGGCTGCCCGATTGGCCCGATTGCAGGCCAGGGTGAGGGACCCCACCCATGCACAAATTTGTGCACCTGGCCTCTAGTCTAATAATAATGATACTTGAAATTGATACAGTGTTTTACAGATTGCAGCTAGGAAATAAAACATTGCTGAAGAAAATTCACTGAATTGTGCTGACCAAGAATACTAATTTCATATGTGCCCTAAATGCTGCTTAGTGACCCTATTATTCATCCCTAACACGTTAAGTGCCCAGCCTGTTTTGTCTTCTGGATGGAAAGTATAGTGTCAGTCACCGGTGACTGGCGCTTAACGTGCTAATTGACTAGTACATTTATCCCCATTTTTACCTATGAAGAAAGGCTCAGAAAAGTTGTGTCTTAATCAAGGTCACTAGAAAATGAGTGACAGAACCAGAACTTCAACTCAGGTTGTTGAATTCTAAGTCCAGTGAAATGTCCTTTCAATACTATAGTTGTCTCGCTCTGGCCGGTTTGGCTCAGTGGATAAAGCGTCGGCTTGCGGACTGAAGGGTCCCGGGTTTGATCCTGTCAGGGGTACATGCCAGGGTTGCAGGCTCGATCCCTGGTGGGGGCATGCGGGAGGCAGCTGATCAATAATTCTCTCTTGTCATTGATGTTTCTTTTTTTAAAAATATATTTTATTGATTTTTTACAGAGAGGAAGGGAGAGGGATAGAGAGTTAGAAACATCGATGAGAGAGAAACATCGATCAGCTGCCTCCTGCACACCTCCTACTGGGGATGTGCCCGCGACCAAGGTACATGC